AAAGTATAATGTTCATTGTGCAACAGTAGCCAAACATGATGAAGCTGTAGTTCCTTTACCTGTACTAAGACTGGGTCACTCAGATTAGTAGAGCTTCGATGAACCACTCCTGCCAGCACGCTGGTCAGATTGTAGGTGTCCTGGAGAGCTTCTCTAGTCTCTGTGTCTGAAGCTGGAATTTGGGAATTATTAGCAAAAGAAACTGTCCTATTAGCTACCAGTTGAAGCAAAAGCCAATGTTTTTGAGCAGTTCTTCACCCATGTTTTAAAGGTAATTACAAACAAATGACAGCTCCTACACTCTTGCCTCTCTACCTCACCTTTGGGCATACAGTTAATTATAACACTAATCAATTTCCTTAAGATGGTTGGACATTTAAAGAATAGTCTACCTCCTACCTACCAAGTTTCTTGAGATCTTGAAACCTGCACTTCAAAGGCTTAGATCTTAATGAGCTCAATTTCTTGCCTCACGCTATGGTAGAAAGGTAGACTCAAACTGATAACCTGATAGGGTTATCTACCATTAGTTAAATAAATAAATAGAAGCTGAAAGAAGTTCTGCTTAGGCAATCTTCAAAGAGTTGTAGCAAAACAAGTAGAGCAATAGATCATTTGGAAGAGGACTTAATTCTTAAAATTTTCCAGAACCCTATAACAAATATAATTTCACAGTAATTGTTCCAAAAGCTTAAAAGGAAGCTCAGGGAGGCTTAAACTCCATGAATCAGAGAAGATAAACAAAGGAGCGTCATAAAGAACTCAGCTCTTCAATAACTACTCATATACGATGAGAAACTAAGCAATGATGGAATAATTTTTCCCTGTATATGTAGGCTGTGCTCTGAGCACAGAGCTCCCTGGATAATGAAGTCCCATTACCATGAAATAGAAGGGAAAAAAAAACCACAAAAAAGGCATTTCAATACACAAGCAAAAGGCAGTAGAACCTCTTTGCTGTTGGGAAGCTTGATGCACATAGGCCAGGCTATTGGAGAGCCCACACTGCCAGCAAACACTCCAGTGGAAGAGGTAACCTGAGGTGATGACAGTTGAGGATTGTTGCAGACAGGTAAAAGATGTTATAAAATAAAGGTCTTATAAAATATGGCTTAGGCCCTGCTACTCTAGCTAAAGCTAGCAGTAGCTTTTAAGTTCCCATGTGAAGAAATCCTAAGAGAATTTGCTTGCATTACAAGCTATTATTAGAGAGAAACATAAGTGGCACCTGCATAAACAATAGATTTGTCCCATGAGAATCCACCAAAGATATATGTAAACACCTGTAGATGGAGATTCTTAACACCTACAGACACACAAGCACCTTCTAACCAACAAATTAAGGAGCAAGAAAACTACTAGCCAACCAGAGTTGAACCCAAGGTCTGTGAAAACTGTGTAAAAATAGCTATGAGAATAAAGAATTGGCTTCTTCTGCATGAGGAAACTGAGTCCCTACTGATTGTTATTACAACAGAGGATGTGACACCACTTCTCCCTATCCTTGCACACCCTAGCCACATTTCTCACTTGATTAAAAAAGCAGTCGCTTCCAGTTCCAAAAATAAAGGACAAGAGAATAATTTCTCATTCCACCCAGTGGATAAATTCTCAGCATGATCATTGTCATTAAGAGGGATGACTTCAAATCTCCTTCTCGCTGCAATGCTTCTTCCAAGACATTAATCACCCACAATCACAGATAAGCATCTGTCTTATTTTCCCTTGTCCGGACAAAAGATAAAAAGTTCAGATGCAAACCTTACCTAGCTGTGATAGCAAAGTAACCACAGACAAGACCAGAGAAGGATTTATATTAGTGTCCTCCAGGAGCTCTACAAGGCAACTGAGACATTCACTTGGTAGAATCTGGTTTGAAGCAAAAAAACGAGTAAGCTTCAGTCCGGAGATAACCTGGAGTTGAAAGGAGAAAAACCTTACTTACTCAACTGCAACAATGTAATTGACACAAAAGTCGAAGCACAGAGTTGCATGAAATAGATTTTGTCCTACTTGACAAACGGAGAATGTTAAGTGTCATTGTATTGAGACATTTATGTTCATGTGTGCTGGGGGGAAAAGAAGAGGCAGAAATGGAAAAAAACTGTTTTTCATTCCTTTATGCTTGGAAAGTACCAAGTTTATTTATTTTGAAAGAATAACCACGTTGCAATCAGCCTGCCTTCCAGAGGCCTGGACAGGGACCCAGAGGTGGCACTCCGCAGGGAGGATCTGCAGGGGCACTCAGGGCTGGTTTGGGAGGACTCTGTGGCTGGAATGAAAAAATGGAACCTGAGGTAGCGGAACCCTTCAAAAGAAGAGGCCAAAAATTATATACCCGTACACCAATACAGTTAGACACGATTTATATTTTGTATATGGGAGACACATAATGTTGCTTTTGTGTATTCCCTCTGTATCTCCTTACAAGGGATATAGGGAAGAAAGCAAAGTGAAATACTAACTCTCACATAAACAATTAAAGCAATTAAAATAAATTAAAACAAATAGCAATTAAAATAAATCTGTACTTGAAAAAGTAACTTGGAGATTAATTCAAAGGCCACCACATAAGTTGTACACAAAGCTGTACCTGAAGATCAGGGAAATTAACTGGTCCACCTCCTTAGTAGAAACACGTCTAAATACGTAGCACGGAAAATTCCAGATGCAAAACCAATTCGTCATTCACACGCTATTTTTTAAGCTGTAAAACGATTCATGCGGGCCAGAATTTAAGGGATAAATAAAAAATTAAGTCCCCTGTAACCCACACTATCTGCTTGCCCTGGGTGCATATAGACTCACAACACACCTCTATAAACACACAAACACACCAAAAGACGTTATAACAATAGATACCACAGCAGCCCCCACGCCCCGGCACAGGCGCCGCTCCCACCTCCAGGCTGCGCTGCAGGAGCGCGGCATTGTGCGCTGTCCTGGCGGCGCGGTACTCCGTGGCTGCGAGGAGCAGGGCTTTCATGCAGCTCGGGGGGTCCATGGCGGCCCGGCCCCTCAGACTCTCCACCCGACCCTCACTCGCATTTCCCGCCGCCGCCGCCATCGTGACGCAGCGACCATTGAGCGCGAGCGGGCGCCGCGCGGCAGCACGGGAGGCGTCGCCGCCGTCGCCATCTTGCTTAAGGGAGGCAGGGGCGGGCAGCAGCCACGGCTTGGGGCAGGCGGCGAGAGCCGGGGGAGGAGCCGGGGGTCCCGGGAATGTGGGCGCTTGGACCGGTGATAGCGGCTTTAGGGCTCATGTGCCGTCGGGGCGATCCAGAGGGATGCTTTTCCTAAGCGGAGCTCTGCGTGGTCGGGGGGAGCTGAGTCTTCCAGCCGCCCAGCCTGGGGGGCTGCCTCCGATTGAAGCCGCCGTCGCTTCCCACCTGGCGCCCGCAGCCCTGCCTCGCCTTCCTGCTGTCTTTCTAGTACCCATGGTCCTTTCCTCTCCTATTCGGGAGGGCTTAAGCCTGGCCAGAAGCCAGCCTCCCCCTCCCGCGAGAGAGGCCAGGGAACCACAGGCGGGAGGGGGAAGTTTTAGCAGCGTCCTGGCGATGGCGGGGACCGAACCCGGGGCCCCGCGACCCGGCCGCTCGTCCCCCTCACACAGCGACCCCCGCAGGCCGCTCCGGGCACAGCGCCCGCTCCCTGCGCTGCAACGGGAATCATTCCCTCGTACTTCTTGCAGCTGGAGTGCCCCGGGACGGCGGGATCGTGCCCTTCTTGGACTATGTTCTTCTTACACGATGTGCTCGAAGTTCGAGTGTACAAGAGGTTCCGCGCCCCCACTACTCAACCCCCCGACATGGGCAAACACCCACCCACCCTTCAGATGTCGGCAGGTAGATGCTGCTGTGTGAAGCTTTTGAACATATTTTCTCAACCCGTGCACTGATTGTTTTCTGTCATATTAGGCCTGCAAATATGTGTAGGAACGTCTGTATCGGCCTCTGTATTTTCCTATGCCGTTAATAGGACAAACATTGCCGTAAAGGGCAGGCGAGCAATGTGAATGTAAGGTAAATGTCATTGTCTCATTTAACTCTTCTAAGTCCTTGATCCTTCTTGTGTCCCCTTTCACATGACTGCTGCAAGGGAATGCTGGGGAAGTGACTGGAGTGTGGGCCTGAAGTCACCCTCAGTCCTGGGTTCTGCCCCAGGAGCTGCAGCCACCAGGACTGGTGGTGTAAGTCTGAGTCCAAAGCTCGCTGACAAGTGCCACCTGAAAGGCACCACGGCGGGCCCTTGTCCTCTGTTCAGCCGTCAGAGTCACTCAGTAGGCACCATGAGGCACAGGCTGGGATTCCTTGTCGCTTGGCCTTTTCCCAAGGCTGAACATCCGTGTGACTGAGTGAGCACCTGGGGGACTGCTGAGACTGTCATTTCAGAAAAACTGCAGTTCTGTGCTTTGTTGAGGACTGTGCTGCTGGAGGTGGGGTGTCTCAGCACAACAGCTCCTCAGTCTGCTACCTGTGATAACCAGCTGTGAGACAGGCTGCAGGATTCTGCATATGAAGAGACACATTAGTTATGTGCTTCTACAGAGCAAGGGCTCTGCCTATGTCCCTATTTATGTCCCATAGTACATTTTTCATGGATGACTACATTCTTTTTAATTAATGAAGTTTTGGACATATCTTTTAGTATTTCTTGGCATTTCTAGGGCTAGTTAATAGTCTATATTTTTTTGTCTCTTTCATGCTACAGTTGTACTGTACAGTATGTACTGTACTACATAGTAGTTGAGCCTGGAGCCAAAAACTGCAGCACTATTAAATTCATAATGAAGTCTAAAGCTCTGAAAGGTTTAAAATTCGTTTGACAAATAATGGTGTGAGAGAAACATAATAGGAAAAAAAAATCTAACTAGTATTACCTATTAAAATACATAAATAATTTGTGAAGGATCTTAAACATAGAACAAATACAAATGTCTTCCTCATACTCTCAAATGGTGAGCAAGTCTGTAGTAGTGACTGGAAGGCTCGGGACATACATTCCAGTTTTGGCTGTGGCTGCTAGTTGCAGGCCACCTTCAGAACTATTTATTAACTATTTAAAATTGGGTTAATATTAAAGCAAATTTTTGCATTAAAAACAAGTAAACAACAAAAGCAACAAAAGACATATACATAATACAGAACTGATGGAAGTAGAAAATCAAATGGAGTAAGTATACCCATAAGTACAGAACCTATTAAAAAAAGGATGTGTTCATGCTGACATGTATGTACAAATTGTAATCCTCTTGTAATCTGCCAGAGCTGTTCCTCAATGTCAAAATATTTCAAAGCATTTTCCTCTGGTTGGTTATTTATTTTTTATGGCATGGATTTAACACAGCATTTTTGTCTTAATTTGCATTATTCAAGCTACTGACTACTAGTATTCCTTGACATTGCTGAAATACTATTCACTCCTCCAACCTAATTGGTAACATGAATCATGTGCAAAATAACAGAGTTTGGGGTTTTAAAGCATCTTAAAATGTCATATATGATTTTTATCAACACCTATAAATTCTGCCATAAATTACTGCTTTATGCCTATTCATTTAATATATTTATATTGCTGCCCTCTAGCAGAGTGTTCACTCTAGCAGTCAACATCTTGGACAATTTGCTGGCTAAAAACCACCAGAAGACACATACATGGACACCTTCCCCCATACCTACGTGTGTGTGTTTGTGTCTGTAACAAAAATACTTATTTATTGCTGAGCAAACATGCATAATAGCTTGTACTGGATCTACTGGTTGAAGATACAGACGGTTGAAGCTCTGACCGTCTGCAAAAGGAGGAGGTAATTCCAGATGTAGAGCAGAGGACACCCAGCTGGAAGCTCTCCCCAGCTGAGGCCCTGTGCCGGGGCACGTCCTGGAATGGCAGCTTCCGAAACCATCAGGCGCAGATCCTTCAGGGCAGGACATCAACATAATCAGCGCTGTCATCAGCTTCTGGGAAGTAATCAAACAAAAAAAGATGTCATTGCAAGGTGCTCTTCTGAAAGGCTGTGGGTGCAGCACAGCCTGTGGCAGGGCAGGTATCAGTAACTCAGTTTGGTTTCTCAGTGTGCTATTGCATGGCCAACGTTTAGGCCCCCTGTCCTATGGACTGGATTCTCCAGGAAAAGGCAAAGCCTTTTCTGAGCCAGCAAGCACAGTTGTAAACAGTTGTATTCACGATTGCCCCTTCTTCCTGAGAAACAGTCAAATGTCAGAAATCATCCATTCTTGCTAAATCAAATCAGTAGCTGAGATATCTGTGACTCTCAAAATGCATCCCTTGTACTGTAAATAAAGACCCAAGAGAAAAGTTCTCATCCCAACTAAAGGAGGAGAGCCTGAAAAATCCTGTTCTCTCTTACACTTCGTAAGATTGGTTACAGTTTTTGAGAAGCCAGGAAAAAGGCAGAAATTCAGTGCTTGGAACTCAAAGCTCCACTATGGAAACCTATTGCTCTTCAAAGAGCTGCCCTCAGAAAAGCTGTTCCTAAGCTAGAAAACAAAGCTCAAATATCTCCAACCACCAGGATCATGACCTCAGTCCCTTGAGGTGTTCCACTGGTTGTGCTGCAGTGCTCAGTCCCATGTGCAGCAAAGCCAGCTGCTGGTGGCACGTGAGGGACGTGCTTGCTTTAGGGAGCACTGCTGTGCTTTGGGCAGTGCCTGTGTTTCAGAGAGCATGACATTTACATAAGCCCCTGCTGTGGACATGTAATAATGCAGCCTGAGAGGGAAGTTTGGAATGCTGTGTAAGTGAAATTTAAATCAAAATTTAATAAAAAAAATTCCAAAGTAGCTTGATTATTTCTAAAAAGCCTCCATATTTATGGAAGCCTAGCTATATTTTGACATTGAAATATAAGGGTTTATTTTCCTCCCTGTGATTCCAGATGAGGACACTGTTCATCTTCAAGAAAAATTCCTATTGCAGGACCAAAAATTTCTAAAAACATATCCATGTTACTGCAATATTTTCTGTCTCCCTGCAACAGCAATGATAAGAAACCATAACAACATTTTTAGAGCAAATGTGGCATATTTGCTGTGTGATACAGGTGACAAGGTAATGTTGATGACATGGGAAATGTGTCTCTGTGGCTTCTCCTCAGCAAGGTTGCTGGGGGTCAGGCCCCAAAACTGCAGCAGTGCACGCTGTGCTGGGGGAGCTTGGCCAGAGCAGTTGCACTGCTCTTATGTGTGAAACCCCAGCGACTGCAGCACAGAGGGGCTGTCTGTCAGAGTCTGAAATAGTTCATGCCTCAAACTTTGATATAAAGTTCTGCTCATTATAACAAAAACTGTATAAAGAAGTTACAACCAAAGAAGCCTCCCTGAAGTTACCCAAAACTACTGAGATTAGATAAAGGAAAACCCATTCTTCAATCACCTGAAACAAACAAGTAAACAAGGAAAAGAATGTCAGCAAAACTCATCTGCTGTAATGAGAATCATCTCTGCCGTGCTTCAAGGTGGGGGAGGCCATAGCCATCAGACCCCTTTTCTGGGAGGAGGTTTGTACAGATTTCTCCCCCAGCTGAGGTGGGGGGAGGAAGTTTTGGGGTGTTGTTTGCTGCTCAGGGGCAGTGAAACCATCCTCCCTTACACAAACTGGCTATGGAACCCCCAAACTTGGGAAGGCCACATTCATGGGGCATTCACGTGAGAGGCAGCTGAGAGAGTGCCTTAATCCATCAAAGACTCCCTGAAGTGCCCCCCAGAGTCGTTCCTGAAGCCTTTCGTCACAGGACTGCACGTGATGCAAAAAGCCCAGAGTCTGTTGAAAGAGACAATGGCAAACTCTCCCTGCCTCAGGGGAGTGCCTGGGTTTTCCTACATAGCCTGAGTGTATATTAAGCCATTGGATTCTGTGCATTCTGGGGAGACCTTCACCACCAAGAAGACCAGCTGAGAGGATCAAAGGAACATTGTTGGGATTCATGGAGTGGTGATATTTTCTGTCACTCTCTTTCTGTCCTCTCCACCTCTTTCTCCTTTCTCTTCTTTATACTCTCCTTTTTCTCTCTCTCCCTCTCATATGTACTATCAAATAAAACCCAAACTATTGTCACTGGCATATGGTCTCATTTGCACCTTAATTTGGGCAGAGGCATTTCTAATAACTTTAATAACTGGATCCTAACACTGCCCCACACCACCATGCTGAGCAGCTGTTGGGCATGAGATGCAAATCACAGGGCAGGGTGAAGACTCCAAAGTTTTGTTTGCATTATGATATCTGTACTTAGCAAAAGGATTTCCCTTACTTCTGGCTGGGGCTCTTGGCACACTCTGCCAGAGGTCATGGAACAGTCTCAGGGTTATTTTGCAGCCCATGGCCTGATGGATGCTGCAGCTCAATGCTGTACAGCAGGAACATGAAGAATGGTGTGAGGGGTACTAGCAAGTTATCAACAGTATCTGCAGTCACACTTCTCCAAACAAGGATGTAAGGATGACATGGGGCTATACAACACAGTCTAAAGCTTTATGAGAACCTCTGTCTTTATTGTATCCATTAGCATAATTCTGTCAGGTAGAAGCATCATGCCCTCATCCTACACCTGGGAGTTGTGAGCATAAATTAGCAGAAGAAGAGCAATAAGAGGCTGAACTCTAGTTCCAAAGCTGTGATCCTGAGCACAAGGCTATATGCTGATCACTTAGTCATGTTTGAATACAAATCACAAGCTGGCTTGCTTGCCTGCCCATCTTAGAACTAACCTGAGTAAGGTTTTGATATAAACATTTCTTAAAACCTGGACTATGAAGGTAAATGACAGCCTCAACTCCCAAGTGCAAGGGCCTGGTATCTTGGCAGAAGCACACTGAGTAAAATTGGTTCTCAGTCTTCTTCAGCCTAAAAGCATCAACATCCATGAACGACAGCTGGAGGCAGCTTTTTTCATCATTGTGTATCTCTAGTGATTTTAGTTTGTACATTTGTGACGGTAAGTAACCTGTGAGCTAAGAATAACCATTTCAGTGAACATAAGAGAGAAGAGAGGATGTAAAACTTCTATCCATGCAAGACAATATTTAGCAAGTATTTCACCACAAACCTGTCAATGCTGTTATCTTAAAAAGCCCACAAAGGCAGAGCTAAGTTTCTCACCATCATAAACATTGTCCATTTCTGACTTGAACCTCTGGCTTCTTTGCAGGGCCTTTGGTTTCTTCACTGGGTAGCGGAGCTTTGTTATCAGTCCTTGATTTGGCTTTTCAAAAGCATATATTAAGTCCTTTAATGTTTTGAAGGTCCTCTCTGGAACACCTTCAGAAGTCTGTAAGGAAAGGATAACAAAATGTGTTTGCAAGTTCCCTTCACCTGGAGTTCCCTAAATGAAAAGAATCATAAGTTGTTTCTTATTTACCAAGAAGCTGTTTTGTAAACATGTTTGTTGACAAAATATTGCACTGTCCTTAAAACACTAGGGAGACCTGTTTGGAACCATGGTTATGGCATTAAAAGTAACCTCCCTCACCATCTTTTTTTTTTCAAAAAGGACATCAGTTAAATTATTGGTGTAGATGTGTGCTGCAGTGATCCACTACAGCAGAGTGTTGAAGACTGACAGCATTACACACTGTACTCTGGTCTGAGAGAAAAAGTTAGGGATAACATATTTAATTCTCACTTAAAATGCTGTCTTTAAATAACTAGGTGACAAACAGAACTCAAACTTTTACAAAATATCAGCATTGGGAAGCACAGGTCACGTGCAAAAAACTGTTCTTTAGGTGTGGGTTCATCTGACAGGACTGAACTGCTCCTGCGGCTTAGCTCTTCATGGATCTGTGCACAGACTTTACAGTGCTGTGACTTCAGGGCAGTGACAGACAGTGAGCAGCCTACTAGTAGTCATTAAAAGGGAACGGGGCTTTCTCTTAATCTGTTAGCTAACAAAGAAACATGTATTTATTTTCTATAGTTTTCTGCATCTTTCATCTTTCATTCAGCCCTGGATGGACTGGGTGCCAATGCCTGTGGGTACTGGGTCTGGCTGGGATGAGTTAACTTCCTTCACAGCAGCCTACAAAGTGCTGTGCTCTGAATTTGTGACTGAAACACAGCCACCACGTTTTGGCTGTTGCTGAACAGTGCTTGTGCAGCACTAAGGATGTCTTTCTTGCACTTGGTTCCCCTGGGGAGTAGGCTGAGGGTGTGCAAGATGCTGGCTGTCCTATCTCACCCCTCTGACACTGTACTCAGCAATAAAAGCATCAGGAAACGGAGGACATTTGTGGTTATGTGTGTGCTGAGGCCTCACTTTCCAGGAGCTCACTAAATATCTGCCCCCTGATGGGAAGGAGTTGCTAAACTTCCTTGCTTTGCTTGTGTGCACAACTTTGCTTTACCTGTTTACCTATTACACTGTATTTTATCCAGGCCAGGAGTTTCCTCACTTTTGCTCTTTGTGTTCTCTTCCCCCAATCCTGTGCTACTAAGGAGGGAGGGAGTGAGCAGCTGTAGGGGTGCTTAGCTGGTTGGGGCCAGCCTGCTGCACTCTAGAAAGCTCATGTCTGAATCTGGCATTAAAATAAACTGAAACAACCTCTCTTCCACATCAATACATTATTTTAGTCAATTATCTTAGTGAGGCAAAATAACCTGATTTAAAATTTTTAAGAACTGAATTCTTCTTTCACACTATTGGCAAAAATTTGTAAGGAAGAATGGGTTTGAAAAGTCTAAAAATATCTGAGTTACCTGCTGACAAGAATGACAGCATAACCCCAGTAGAGTGGATAAGGTCCAAAACAGAATATTTTTTGTCAGTAAACCATTCTTCTTCATGGGAAATTGGGTCTTTCATGCACAGGCAAAGCCACTAACAAGCAATAAATTACCAGCATATGAGAGCTTGGCGTGTTCTTTATGAAGTGATTTCCTCATACCACTTAAATGCTGCTTAATATTGGCAATCCTCTTGGCTGTGCTAGTACAAGCAGGGGAGTGAGCCAGATTTTAAGTGTCCTTTCACATTTCCTGGGGATTTGGTTGATGCACTTGTTTTACCTGAATAAGCAGCATTAATTGACATTGTCGCTCCAGATGCCTCACAATCACACAGAATTATCGGTTCTTTAAATCAAAAAGATCATTGCAATATCCCAGATCCTTATGAAATGCTGCATGCACTAGCAGTGCTTTCAAGTAGAAAAAGGTAATTAGGAACAGGAGAAAGTAAGAAACAGGAGAAAGTAAGAAAAGTAATAGATATTTCATCAGTGCTATCAAAAAGAAATGGTCAAATGAGAAAACAGCTGGTTAATAAATAATAGAGCCACTTAGATTATAACTAAATTCTATAAACACAAGACTACTTTTTGAGATCATCTACAATAAGAATTGAGTAGAGAGCAAACTTGGAAATATTTTCTATAGTATTGTGTTTATGGATTTTTTTAAATCTATGTTCATAGACTAAAATGATAATAGATTAACACTATCATAGATCTTTGATCATAGATGAATCTAAGATATTTTAATATATGGGTTTTTTTAAATCTATGCTCCTTAATGCAATCTTTAGAGATGCAAGGAGAGTTACTCACCTGTATTCTAAAATATCCTTGGTCTTCTCTGAAGATACGGTAAGTGTAGATGAGGCCCTCAAAGCTGTGAAAAAACATTGTATATGTAACACATCACATTAACAAAGTGGACATATCTGTAAACAGTATTGAAGACACGAGAAGTGCAGTAAAATTGAATGAGGCAGAGACAGGAAAGCAAAAGAGAAGATATCTTAGAGATTACAAAATGAGTGGAGGTTTAATATCTTGAAATACAAGATTACTCTGACCAGGAGTTTCAAAGAACATATGAACTAAGCCTAACACAGGCCTTTAACAAGCATAATTTCATTCCACAAACAGCACTTCTTCTCATCTCTCTCTTATCTTCCTCACTTTTCTAACCTTCATTTTGTATTTCTGTCACAGGAAGGCTGTTGAATTCTTGGAGAGATGTAGGCAGAAAATGGCCTCCAGTCACTAGCACCCAGAAAATGATGGTATGGCTCCTACTTCTGAGAATAATGTTATTCCTTTGCATTTCCCAAGGTTTTAGTGATTGTTATTTTTTATAATAAGCACGTGTTTGAACACTGAGGCTACTGATGTCTTTGGATATATTTTGTCAACAGAAATAAAAGCTTTATCAGATACCACAGTAGCAGCAATTCAGGAGGTGGACTGGAGATCGTGACTGTGATCAAAAAAGGTGGCAGAGTTGCAAGAAAATATACATCACAAACAAGTGAGGAGGTTGGGGAGAGGTGGGAGCAGCATCTGAAAACAAGTTTTTTTAACTTTTGTGCCAGTTCATCAGGAGGACTTCAGCTGTGACAATGTGAAGTGAACTGTCATGAGAAGGAGAATCTTGGGGCACAAACCTGGCTCAGGGCACTTGCACAAAAGTGAAAGGTTACTAAAAATAAACTACTTTGTTCTGCAAAAAAAGTTACTATGAACTGAAATTAGAATAAGGCTTTCAGTAATAATACGTTTAATTCAAAAAGTGTTATCACGGGGATGCATATTTTGGTTTTTGTCTTCTGGAGATACCTGTGGAAATATATATGTTCCGTGCTGAAAAGTACTTTTACAAATGTGAGTGCTTACAGAGACAGAGAAGTGAGAAAAAGAAATACCAGGAACTGATCATTTTTGAAACTTGTTCTTTACTGATCAACTAAATATTAAAACATTTCTGCCTGGATATTATTCAGATACTTTAATTCTTACTAAATGCACATGAAACTACCACTAAAATGGAAACTTCTGTCTCCTCATTAACTACTAAATGCTTACCAAGAGCAAGTAAAGGGTAAAAATAAACAAAATGTTTGGTCTGGAAGAAAAGCGAGGTGAGAGGGAAAATGGCATGTTGAACAGTAAGGAGAACAGTAGCAAAACCAGTAGGTCTGAACTGAAGTGCTGTCAGAGACCTAGGATAATTCTAGATGAAAGAGACAGTGTGCTGCAGAGGAAGAGCCATGCACCTTGCCCAATTAGAGAGATGAATTTGAGCTGGTCACACCATTCTTGCCTCCCAGGTACCTCCACGGGAATGCACTCCCCCCCATATCCCAGCAGAAAAGGACAAGGAAGTTTTTTTGCTGTAGCAAGTGGATCAATGTCTCTGCCCACAGATCAGGTAATTTGAGAAGGGTTTATCAGTTTGCACATAAACCATGTTAGGTGCTAAACAAGGTGTTGAGATGCAATGCTAATTCAAAAGTTGCTTTTGAACATCACTAAGAGTTTCAGTGTTGGTTGCTGCCAGTTTTAGGGCAGTTTGCCTAGTGAACCACTGCCAGGCAGCCCAGTTTCTGGGGCAGTTCTAGCCAGTGCTCTAATACTATTCCATGTGCTGTTGAACAGGAGCCTTGCTCTGACCTGTGCAAGCCACCCTCTGCGTACCACTGCTGCCGCTCTCACAGTTTAACTATGGCATTTGTTCATGTCAGGATTATAGGCAAATCCACTAAACACTTCAGTTTTTATCAGCTTTTTTAAATCAGCTTTTAACACTAAAACCCACAAAAGCAAACTGGAAGGCATGATTTTTCATGTGCCTGCACAGAATATTGTGGCAGGCAGATGTGACAGGTCAAAGCGTGTCTGCAAGACATCACAAGAAAAATCTGCTTCGCCCTTAAAAAAACAAAGATTAAAGGAAAAGCAACTGTGTTGGTGTGGCCTAACCCAGGTTATAACATTGTCGTTCTTCCTCTGTGTCAGGTTCCCCATTTGTCCCCTCTGACAAGGTATACATGTGCCTTCCCTCCCACCTCCCTGCCCTCCCCTCAGCCCCTGCATTGTCTCATTCCACATCATACTGAAAGCAGGTTCCTGTAGCTGCCTTGCTGAGGGCTCTGTTTGTTGCCAACTTGCTATTTCTCTTCCACTCGTTTTGTTATTTTGAAGATCTGCTTTCTTCTACCTGCCAACCCAGTAGTACTCCATTTCTCTCTCTCTTTTTCTCCCCTTTCCATTGATTTGTTTCATAACAAATTCATTTTTAGTGATTGATAAAAATATCATCTCCTATTTGTTCATTAATTAGATGTTAAAAGGTTTTAATGTCACATTCAAATGTATCTGCAACAAGAGTGCAAAACCTCATAGGTTCAAAGACATAGATTCTAGTTTTTAAACTTTGAATGCATTATGAACAGATAAATTATATTTGAAAAGAGTAAAAAGGAAAATAAAAGTGCTATTCCCCACAGAAGAAGAAAATAATAAAATTTTAATTGTAGTAATTAAAGCTTTGTACTAGAAGTAGCAGTTTTCTATGCCCATCTTGTCTGTGGATTTGTCATATAAATTCAGACAGAACTTTGTAATTTTCAGCCTCAGCCTATGTTCTTATATCAGGTAAAATTCCTTTGAAACACAAGACTGAGTTTTTATCAGACAGAAAGTCTACAAAGAAGGAAGTGTTTTGTAACATGCCATGAGACTATTCAGTGTCTCAACAGTGCTAAAATGCTGTTTACTCATCATCACAGAGACAGTTACTTTGAGTAAGGATCTTAGCATATTTTGGCAGGCTGAGTTATTTTCTCTGGGCTGCCCTTACTGTCTGGAGAGAGAGACCAGCATCACCAGACTATAGTTCATTTATCATCTGTTACATAAAATAGCTTTGTGGAAATGCCACCCCTCCATTTGTCACTATAAAGGAAACCTAAAGCAAGCAGCACTACTTGAATACATAGACACACTCCCTTGGAGTCTGTTAATATCAGGGAAGAACTATTAATTTTAGAGAAGATGATTGTTGTCTTTGGATCCAACTGAAAGCTCATAAAAATCAGTACTTACAAAACACAGAGACACAAGGCTCCTTCCACACTCTCACTCTCCCGTATTAAATAGCTGCCATTCTTTTTCCTCTTGCTCAGCAACTCTTCACAGGTTCTTCTTGTTATCTTTCCATGAAAAAATGGGAATTCCATGGACCAAAGAAAACAACGTGTCTTGCCTTTCAAAGCAATACTAGAGCAAGTCAGAAGCCTAGCATGAGAAGAAACCTTATTCCAAAGGCAGCTTCCTGTGGACGTCTGAAGTTGGAGGTGCCAAGGACACACAGGAGTTCATGTGTGTTGTTTACTGAACTGTCCCCAGTGAGGTAGGTTAGCTCTGCAGCTTGACAGCTCATGACTCTGTGGAGGCAGGAAAAGGTTGGTCTACACTGGTCACAGTCCACATCAAAAAGTAAGACACTTTTGTCACATTATACCAGCAGATTTTGGGTTGTGTATCGCACCTCTAGACTATGAAATCGCTAAGTTGACACTGAGGTATAGTTACATTTTGAAGTTAACTTTTATGTTTAAAGTGGCTCAAAGCCCAGCAAATAGGGTCCTATGCTTCAGGAATAAGTCAGGACTGTATAGGAGGATAAAATTACGTAAAAGCACTCTTGTCTTTTTTTCAGGTAATTTTGAAAAGAGAAAATAAGTATTTGTGATATTTTAATCAGCATCAGTCATGAAGCCATAGGATGTGCCAGAAAAAATTTGGCAATTCTCTGTTCATGCAGAGGTTTAAACAAATTTCATCAAAATAAGCTGTAGAAGGACACAAGGTGTTTAATGGAGGAACAGTGTAAGATGCAGGGACTGCTGTCATCTTGATCACAGTGAAAAAAACAGTGAAAAAACCAAGGTAAATACTGGTGGAACACTGTAAGGAAAATCAACCATGTTTTACATGCAGCTGTTACATTTGTGTTTTTTCTCTGACAACTTTGTACACACAAAAATCTTATATTAACATTTGTGTGTTTAACTGCAAGTTGATCATGCATGACACTAAGACCATTTCCAGATGGTATCTTAGTTATTTCAGGAATAAAGTACCTCTAAAAAGGTACTGTTTTGTCTCAAAGAAATGTAGAAACCTAAGGAAAAAAGATATCCCAAGAGAGAAACTGAGAAATGGCAAGTCCAAGGTGATGCTGTTGCTGAGGTCTGTCCTGCAGTGACCACAAGTTACTGGTAAAACAAGCCGTGATCACCAAGGGGATGAACTTGTTTATGTAGTTAGATCCTCCAGTTTCAGCTGTCTACAGACAGCTGCATTTGGAATAATTTTATCCTCCAATGGGATGGGGATAGTGGTATTGGGAGAGAAATATCCCAGTCTTCTAAGCATCCTTAAGAACAAACATCCTTATGTGACAAAGATTCTCCTTCTTATCAAATGCATTTGTATTTTCCTCAGGTTAAAACTGTTTGTGGCCTTTTTTTCTACACATTGTATAAATAAACATTTTCCATGAGGTATTGTGAGGTGAATGGCTTTTCCAGAAGCCCAGCTCTGCAAATGAAGAGCAGCAACTGCTCAGCACTGTCCTGCTTCAGGCAGGTACTCTGCTTGCATTGGAAGGAAGGTAGATAGGAAACAACTGCAAATTCCTCTTTCAAGAACGTAATAAATAGACGTTCTTCACAATTTTCCCTGAAGGTCTCATTACCTAGGTGCAAAAATATAAGACAGTAGTTTCGGTAGATCTTGCAGCTCTGAATGTATAATTTACCTAAAGTGAAACAGCAACCACATGCTACCTGCTGTCGGCTTAGCAGAGTGTTTGTCTGATTTAAAAAATCCTAAGGAGGAGAAAGTGCTTGAGGAGAAATGGGGCTGGGGTCTCCTTCCAGCATAAGTGGCCACCTACTGGCCCAATCACCTTCCACCTCAGTCAGTCTCCACAGCTCCCTGAGAGCATTCAGGAATTAACATTGTCCTTTTACCTCACCTCACCCGTCTGCAATACTCAAATGGACCCGAGAATAGGATTGAATACTTGATTTTAAAGCAGAAATCATTGAAATATACTTGAGAAAGAGGTCTGGGAGGGAAAAAGGAGAGAGACGGTAAATATGGTCTGGTCAGTCACTAAATATATGCGACTAAATATATGTCACTAAAATGTATGTGTGGGTGTGGGGTTGTGTGTGTGTTTGAGGGCTAATCCAGAGCAAAACCACACAAATATACAACAAATATACAACAGGACTTAGAGATCCTAGCCTGGGACATGTGTTGATGGATGCTGTGTAACAACTGGCAGGTGGGGGATTTCCTGGTCACTCACCACAGAGCTGCACCGTGAGCCTCACCACAACTTGTACCACACAGCACTGAATCTTTACAGTGCATGTAGGGGTCACATAACAATATATTTCCATGGGCCTAATGTAACCTAATGTAAACTCTGAGCAAACATTTCCTAACACAAACATTTCCAGCTTAACAAATCTCACAAGTATTTTTGGCTTACACAAACCTGCATACCCAGGCTGTCTCCTCAGCCAAGTCTGAAGAGTGGTAAGAAATATGACCTGATGATCTTAAGTCTGATTAAATGTATGATAAGAGACTTGGGGGAGCTGAAATGGCAGTGATGCCCCAAGGCAGTGGGGCTTGGGTGGTGGAGCCAATTGCACCAGGCTGAGCCCCTGGGAATCTTAGCTACAACAAACCAAGCAATAGCTCTCGGTAATCTGTGCTGAAAGTTATTCTACTCCATTCCAAAATAAAATAGGTTGGTTTTTTTTTATTTCTTACCACTTAAGGAGATTTCACAGTTCCTAGGATAGCCTCTTGCAGTGACTATCCTTTCAGATGGCAGAGAACAGGGGGGAAACAAAGTTCTTTTTCCTGAGAGTCTGTGTCTTGGCCTGATTCTACCATAGCATGGGAAAGAAACAGAGTTTCACTTCCTAAAAATCTTCTGTATATCAAAACAAGCACATCCTTCAGTCAGTCTTGCACTTTCTGAAGTTATTGCAATCACTTCTGAAGGAAGTCTTTTTCCATAAGCCGCCTTTTCTTGCGATTGTTCTCTTTACTTTTCTCTGGCACCACCTTGGCTACTACTTCTATAAAATTTGATAAGTAAGCAAGTGTTTTGATTAGAATAGCAGGATAGTTAGCTACTCTTCCCTTCACAAATAGGTGCTAGAGAAACAAGACGTGCAACATTTTGGCAGCAGTGCCAAGCCCTTGTTGACCGTTTAGATCATTGGTTTTCCGCCATTCAGCTGCCTGGACTAATTTTCTTTTTTTTCCCTCCTGTTATTGTAAAACATAGCAAGGCTATTTCATAGTGACCCCTCATATTAACAAGCACAGTTGGAGCTCTGGTTCTGCAGTGTCTTCTGCTGCAGCTCCAGCACAGGAAAGCTCTTGACAGTGTCTTCTGTAAGAACAGGAAATCTGGGGAGAAGCTAGGCTGCGTGACAACAGTGAGGGTGAGACCTTCAGCGAATCATCAGGCACAGTGTGGGATATTGGGGTTAAATAAAAGCTGTGGTCAAAAGCAAAACTAGTGTGCTTAAACTGTTGTGAGTAAAGCAGGGAGCTGAAGGTCATTTGTTATCTAGCCAGAAAGAAAGAAACAGCCACAACATAAGAAAACCGAAAGTAAGTTGAGTTCTAGCTAAATCTCCTGAAATATGAGCTCTTGTTGAGTTGGGTCTCTGGGCAGTCCCAGTCCTGTGGCTTACTCTGTGAACAGAACCAATAATGTTTTTTCAAGAAGAACTGTTACAGCAAAAAATTACATTTAATTTCAATTTACAGCTTTAGCATGATATCTACATCAGGCTGTACTTTTGCAATTTACTGTGCCTGGACACAAAGGGATTTTTTAGTAGTATCTGTTGATGGCAAGATTTACTTGATACTGAAAGAAAAATCACTATGATGTAAATTTAAGAAGAAAATTGAACTAGTGTGTCTGTTACTTAGAGATTGCTGCTACAGCTGTCTGTGGAGCCCCAAGGCATCAGAGCTCTCCCATTAGCTTTTTAACAAAATATAAACCTAGGAGGGAAAACGTGTTTTATAACTCTCTTAACATACTGCCCATTTTTTAAAATACAAGTAAAGAGAAAATGGTACATCAGAATGAAGGTGGTAGTCCAAAATGAACTGAGAATGATAGTTCAAACTTGTCTGTGCTAAAATTTGAATTAAAAAGTTACAGAGCCCAACAATTAAAAAAGGTTTATAAGACATATGAATATGTGTAAGTAGTGGGTTTTGGTCTTAAAAATTATCTAGAATGTTGCTTAAATGTTTACTTAAAGGATAGAGTCATAAAACAATAATTTCCTTCTCACTGGCAACCACATTGTCAGGGTTCAGAGTGATCCATATTCAATTACTCCCTGAGATTATAATAGCTGCAATGTTTGTATTTAAGTGTTATGATCTGCCTCTGAGGCTCTTGTTAATAGATCCCTTGGAGTAAATTAGAGTGAAACAATACTGAATGTCCAGTTTATATATGAGGCATACTTATTTTAAAACAATTTAATTGTAGCAGAAAGAAGGAATGTAGCTGTTTTAGTTATTTTCTACAAAAGTATAAAAATATACCCTGAAAATTCAGCTTCTAAGACATCATTCATTGGTCTCAAATATCACATAAATCAATTAATGAAATGCAGTAAGAAGTTAGCTCACATCATAATGCCCCCAAAGTACTGCTTTCCTGTAAAGAAATGTGCAAATAAAGCTGTAGGAAGTGACAAACCTCACTTACACATAATCACATTTCTGTACTTCCTTTACATTCTCCATCAAATATAACTGCTCTATAAAAGTTTGAGCTTTTGTCTTAATATTTGACAAGACTCCATCCAGGGTGTTTATCTGTCCTTCACATCTAGAGTCATATTAACAGTGCCATCATTTTTACCTTGTGAATTTTCTCTTATTAGTAGCTCTTTTTACCATTACTAATATTTTCCTAGTCACTAACTTACAGTGTCCTGTCAGAATGCTGTGTACATTACAACTACAGCTTGCCACATTGGAACAGTGCCATTTTTGCATAGTATTGAAAATAACACTTATTTCCCACCCCACTCCCATCCCCCATAGCAGTGAGGCACTGAATAATGTAAAGAAAAGCAGGATGACAACATACAAACTTAAGAGGGCTCTTGCATGGTTTTCTAAACCACTGGGGTGCCAGCATTTCACTTTTGTCCCACAACTACCAAACTTCCTTCACATAATCCTCTTCCTTTCCTGATGGTCTGGGCAGCACTACAGAGAGGTGATCAGAGAACCAGGCTCTCCAAGAAAGTGCAGTCCATGCACAGGACAAAATGATGGTCCCAGCTCTCAGGAGTTTACAGGACAA